CCGCCACCACTGCCGCCGCCAGTGAAGAAATGCCAAGGCTATGATGGTACATGCAGCGTAGAAAATTGTGGCGATGACTGCTGTCTGGCTAGGTGCAAGACCAAGTACCCTAATGAACCTGAGTTGCAAGGGTTTTGTCAAGATATTGTAGGGACTTCTTATAGACTTTGCTCATGCGTTTACGATTGCTAGATTTTGTTTTACTATAATTAGTAGTCTTATTATATGGCTGTCTACTCATTTACTAGTATGTCTTAAATAAAATCAAAGGACATTTTTTGTTAGTACACTTTCTCCCTTGTACTTGAATAATTCTATCCAAGAGAATTTTTATTTTTTTATTTTTCTCATGAAGTATAGAAAGGAGGATATATTGTACTCGTAAAAAGTCAAAATATTACAATTTAAAAAAGAAAAACAAAAGAAGTACGGAGTACTACTCCTTGGTACGAAGTATATAACTAAATAGAGTAATGGAGATAATAATGGCATCGATTAACATTAAATTAGGTATCCTCAGCTAATAAATATAAAATCCTCTTATATGGTACGTGAATTGATTTTTTGGTGATTTTGAAATATCTTTCATTTCCTATTACATACCACAATTATTATTTGACATTATTACTCCCTGCAAAGAACTATATAAATTACGTTTACGGATGCCATATGTTTTACTTAAACTTGCATAATTTAAAAGGATGGCTAAGCAATTTTCACATTTATCGGCTCTCATATTCCTCTTCCTATTCATACAAGGTATATTTGCCTCCACCATTTCCTTTTGTACAAATATTATTACACATTATTTTCGTTTGTTTTTGTATCATAATTGTGTAATCTTCTCAATACTAGCATCATCAGTTTTCAATTAAGGTTGTGTTTGGTTATAAAATACTTCCCAGCTATTTAAGTAGTTGCACCATTTGTTTTTCTATGGTCTCTAATACATTAATTTGATCATATATATTGTAATTGAAAACACATTTTGAAACAAAATTTTAAGAGATTCAATTTGAATTATTTTTAATAAAGAGGGACTAAAAGTAGGGGTGGCAATTCGGGTCAACAGGTCGGGTTCGAGTTAGATTTCAGGTCGATTTTAGGTTGTGCTTAAAATTTATCAAAACTCGTGTAAAACTGAATATTATCACGAAATATGAAATTTAGCTCAAATCGAGTCGAATTCTGGTTGTTCGAGTTGGGATCGGGTTTCTCTCATTAACTACGGGTCGGGTTCAAGTCGGGTTAGGGATTGCTAGCCCTACCTAAAAGTACTCCACTCCGTATTAATTAATTTTATTTTTTTTCACAAAGGAAAAAAAAACCATTAATAACCCTCCTCACGAGAAAAACTCCTTATATATGCACGTTACTTAATTATTATATTTAATTGATGCAGGAAATATGATAGGCATGGTGAAGGCGGCAGATATATGCCAAGCAGGTTTAGGAGAGTGTAAGACTGATTGTGATGAAAGGTGTAAACAACAATACACAGGTGGAGAAGGACAGTGATATCAATCATGAAAAAACAAGTGGTGCAACGATGCAACCACTTAGTAATTCAATTAACGGGGAAGTAATTAAAAATCATAAAACATGCTTAATTACCTTCTCTTGTGCAACTCTCTGCAATGTCTATACCAAACCAAATTCCCTCCTATCAAATTCCCAATGATATTTCTCAATATCCATAATACAATCAAACTCACTCCCACAAACTATCTTTCCTGGAAAATGCAAATTGAAGCCATTCTTGTTTGTCATGGCCTTTATCAATACATAGATGGTTCTCTTCCCTGCCCTCCTACTGTTGTAACCATAGAAAACGAGGAACAAATCAACCCTGATTATTCCTTTTGGACTCGTCAAGACAAGCTGCTTTATGGTGCTCTCATTATTCCTAATGAGTTTGACCACATAGTGTATAAAATAATAATAAAATAATTAAATTTGACTTCATTTTTTTTTTTTACTAATTTTCAAAGTATAAAATAAGTATCTGTAAAAAAAATACTAACATGGTGTATTAGACTGTTAGTCGTATGTATTATCACAATATTAACATTTTAAATTTTCACAAATGTACAATTAAATATAATTACTCTTCCGTTTCTTAATGCTATTTGTTACATGTTGACTTTTGTGATCAACTTTCAAAAGCTTTGACTATAAAACTATGATAATATCAAAACCGTATCAAAAGTATTATCAAAATACTCTGTTTAACTTTTTATAATTTAATATATTCATAGTCAAAAATGTATTTTGAATATAAAATTCAAAATATAATATACTAAGTACAATAGAATTGGAGGAATAGTAATTAAAGTTATGTGTTGGCAAATCGAATTGATGCACTTACATAGAGAAAACAGATGGAACTAAGTACTCCACTCCGTATTAATTAATTAAATTATATTCAAGGCTCTAACATGCGGAACAGATAATAGGACAGTGCAACCAGAGGTGTCGATTCGGATAACTAGATGGAGTTTGGGTCGGGTCTATTCGGATTGGGTCTGTTTGGGTTGGATATGTTCGGGTCAAAATTATTCTTTTAACTCTGATCGGGTCGGGTCGGGTCAATTTTGGGTCATGGTTTATCGAGTCCGGATCGGATATGGGTCTGGTCAATTCCAGATCGGTTCATGTTCGGTTCCGATAAATTCAAATCAGGTTCAAAACAGTTTGCCCGGGTTAATTTCGGGTCGGATGAATTTGGGTCGGGTTGATTTCGGTTCGGATGATTTCGATTCGGTCAAGTTCGGTTTGATTAAGATAAGGTTGGTTCAATATTTGGTCAATTCCGATTCAAATCCTTTTCGTGTTTGTCTAGATTTTGGTCGAGTTGACCAAATTCAATATCAAAATAAGATCATTTTTAAACTAGAGTAATTATTGAATTTTTACCTTATTATTGGGTCGATGTCAAGTCATTCATGTGTCATTTTTCATATTGCGTGGTTAATTATTACAAAATGCGAAGAATTAATTTTCTCATTCAATCAATTTTTGTGTAATATTTATCTTGGAACCAAATTTAAATTGAATAATTACCGATGAATTATCATACCTACGTACATAAGTGAGACGATTAGTACTGAACTAGTGATAGACTGATAGATTGATAGATGATAGTCACATACTCACATATAGTAATACAAAAAAGAATGTCCTTTTTTAAGGTACCACTCTTCAATTGTTTAATTTCATGAGGCTACAAGTACTATTAGTTTGCTTTATTACTAATTCAATTTGTATAAGATATTTGTTAGAGTTTTGGACTTCTAACTTAGTAAATTTGTAAATATATAGTAGTATAAGAACTTGAAAAAAAAGGGTCAATAATAATAGGTTAGTTTTAAAATTATGGCTGGGTTAAAATCAGATCGGGCTAAAATCGGATCGGGTTAATATCAGTTCGGGTTAAAACAGATCGGATTAAATCGGTTATTTGTCGGGTCATTTTCAGATCGGGTTGAGTTCAAGTCGAGTCAAATCGGTTCGATTTGAGTTCAAGTCGGGTCATATCGGGTTCGGGTTGAGTTCAAGTCGTCAAATCGGTGCCAGGTTAAGTTCAGATCGGGTTAAATTCGGATTCGGATTAAGTTCAGGTTGGTTACAGATCGGATTTGGATCCTAAGGTCAAATCGGATTGGTTACAGTTCGAAACGGATGATTTTTTTCGGATCGGTTCGATTTTAACACCTCTAAGTGCAACCCTCATACGTCTGATTATGTAGATAGGTGTAAACAACAGTTTGTAGACGGAGAAGGGCACTGTGAAATTGGTTCTTGTTATTGCATATACTTCTGCGGTTCTTATCCGCCACCGCCGCCACCAACAAAGACATGCCAAGCAAACGCTGGTACATGTAGCTTAGGAAGTTGTGGTGATGACTGCTGTCTTGATAGGTGCAAGACCAAGTACCCCAATGTACCTATAACTCAACTTCGGGGGACTTGTCAACAGTTTATAGGAACTCCAATTAGACTTTGTTTATGCGAGTTTAGTTGCTAAATTTTATTTTACTGTTATTAGTAGTCTTATTATATGGTTGTCAATTTTGTTATGACTTTATGTTTTTAATAAAAGTAGAGGAAATTTTATGTTTAGGGATATCCTGAATGAAGTAGACTGCTAGGGCCTAATCGGACTGATGTGATCAGGTCCTAGTCTGTGCAGGATGTTGATTATTTAGAGTGTCGTAGTAGAGCGCCCGTGCCATTGTTCAGTGCGCCCACGCAAGGTCGGCGCGGCCCGCGATAAAAGCGCGTCAAAATCGCGCCAAGTTTCTGGAAACTTGTAAAATTTTGGCAGAATTGGGGAGTCGCGCCTGCGCTACTTCCCTTGTCTGCGGTTTATGCGGTTATTTCCTTTTTAATTAAAGAAGTTTTCGTTTTAGTCGAAGACAGAGAGTTTTTCTCTCCTCTCCAATATTCTCTCTTCTCTACAATTTACTTGAAGAAACTTGCAATCTCTTGATCTAAATCTCTATCAATTAAGTTTGTTTTTTGAGAATTTGATCATCTTACTACATTTCTTAGTGCTAAGATTGTAGTGTTCGTCTATTGTATCTTAAAGCGAATTTCTAGTTCAACCCAAGCACCGTTGTGGGGGAAATAATCGCTTTAGGAAAGTATTTACACGCCTTAGACGAGTATCAAGTGTTGAAGACTCACGTGGTCCTTGGTATTCTCATGTTCTAGTTGGTTTCTTTGGCTTGGAGTGAGGCAAGTGTATTTCTTTCATACTTGTAGTTTAGTTTGATTTCTTTTGTAATTTTCATTCTAGACTTACTTTGCTTGGTTTGTATGTGTAATTGAATTTATACATATATTGTAATTTTCTTATTTTCCCTCTTTTTGTTGTACTAGAATTTGTACAAGTAGGAGTATTTCCTGACACAGGATGGGATGGACTAATAGCCTAACACGCGCACTAGCCACCTTCATGCCTAGGCCGTGCCAATAATAACTACACGACCAGTGTCTGTGAATAGCAGTTTTCTGCTAAAATGATCATTAATACAGTTTTCATTTCCATAACAGTACAGATAACTAAACTACAGCACTAGATACTAATCTGGCTTCACTAGTAGTATAAAATTGATTTCTTAGAGTAATTGGACCTATGTATACAATAATGTAGTTGAAGGTATTTATAAAATAAAGTTGCTTGAAGCAGAGAATATAAGACAGTGAAAGTACTAATGCAAAACCTTCTGAGATTTTTCGGTGTAATCATCAAGAGACCTGAAAGCACAAGGATCAACATCAGCAAGCATCTTAACCACATCTCTCATGTTAGGGCGGAGAGATGGAAGCTTGGTAGTGCATAATGTGGCAATCTTCAAGACTTTCATCATTGCATCTTTGGTGCAATCTGATACTATCTTAGGGTCAAGAACATGAATCTCGCTGTTCTTGTCATTTAGGCCCCTCAAAACCCAATGAACAATGTCTCTTCCTTCTCCATAAAGCTCTTCGATTGGTCCCTTTCCTGTCAGCAATTCAAGAAGTACCACCCCGAAACTGTATACATCACTCTTCTCTGTGACCTTGCATGTATATGCGAGTTCTGTGTGGATATCAATAGGTTTTGCGGATCAGTCTCAAAAAACCAGGAATAAATTCACTATATATAAAACTGGCCTAGAATTTAGAGTTAATTTTCAATGTATCTAACTCATGAATAATGGAGAATCTAGAGCCCAATTTACTAACTGATGTAGTTCAGACTTCAGAGATAAATTAGACAGAATTAGATGACTTCACAGATATATTACCGGGTATCAGAAGAATAAGAACTTACCAGGAGCAAGGTAACCATGAGTACCAGCAAAACAACTAAACTCAGACACCTCTGCAGAATCATATGTGGCTTTAGCTACCCCAAAGTCTGCAATCTTTGGCTCATATTCCTGATCGAGTAAGATGTTGGTTGATTTTATGTCTCGGTGAATGATAGGAGGTGAGCAGTCATGATGCAGATAGCATAGACCCTTTGCAACTCCTAAAGCAATGTTGTAGCGCTTATTCCAATCTAATTCTGGCTGCCCATCCTTGATCTCCCGGTGAAGCACTTGAAACAAGTTACCATTTTCCATGTACTCAAAGACTAGAAAAGCAGTGTTTCCTCTCAGTAAGCAGGCATAAAGCTTTAATATGTTCTTGTGTCTAATATTTCCCAAGATATTCATCTCAGTTGATATCACCTTAAAAGATGTTCCCTTCCATAGTTGCTTTACAGCCACTATTCCACCGTTCTTCTTAAGCTCCAAACGATAAACCTTTCCCGCCCCTCCATTTCCAATCAGATGATCTTCCTCCAAGTTACAGATTTCATCTACATCAAATTCCAAATGGTGGAAAGATTCAACTTTCCATTTTGGTTCCATGCCATTGCTGCCTTCAAGATCAACTTTGGAGCAAGAGTTTGAAACCTTGTAGTGTCTGTAGTTCAAGAACAATAACGCGGATAAGATCAAAACAAGGAAAGACAGAGCAGAAAAAGTTGCTATCAGTCTATTTGACAACCCCTTCTCGTGGATTTCTTCACCATTGCACACTCCAATCCCATAATTTACAAAGGTTTTCATACTCTTGTAAGCACACAACCCTTTGTTCCCTCGAAAGGAATCACTGCTGCCAATGTTTAACAAGCCCTGAGGAACACTTCCTGATAACTCATTGTCAGATAAATCGATCAAACTCAATCTCAACTTTCCTAGATTGCTTGGAATTGAACCCTTAAGCCTATTCCTTGAAAGATTGAGAGAGTTCAATGAGGTCATCTGAGCAAGTGTAGAAGGGATCTTATCATCTATCATGTTGCCTGCAAGATTGAAGTCAGCAAGCCTCGTGCACTCGCCTAACTCTTGTGGTATTGAACCAGAAAGGGAATTTCCTTGCAGTTGTAATGATGATAGCTGTTTCAAGGCTCCAAGTTGAGGGGGAATCACACCAGAAAATGAATTATTACTCAAATAAAGCCTCTCTAGTTGAGTAAGTTTTCCAAGTTCTGTTGGAAGTTCACCAGAAAACCTATTGTTCTCCAAAATTAACTGACTCATGGCAGTCGAATTCCCTATATCTGAAGACATCTGACCTGTAAGTTCATTATTACTGAAATCCACTATATCTACATTAGGCAATGCCCATATACCATCAGGAAGTTGCCCTGACAGACGGTTGTGATTGACTCTGAGCCTCACAAGTGATTTACATTCAGCATAGGAAGCAGGAATTTCTCCGGAAAACCCATTATTCAGAGCAAGCAAGAACTGTAGGCTTCGGCTTTCACACAAGTACCTAGGAAAAGAACCAGTAAAATTGTTTTCAGAGATGTCTATACTAACTAATGGAGAGAATCTCCCAAAATTTGCTGGAATTTCCCCTGAAAAGCTGTTTCTGTAAATCGAAAAGCCTATAAGATTGCGCAAATCTTCAAAACCGCGAGGAAGTTCCCCTACAAAGTCATTCTCATACAGCTGAAAAACTGTCAGGTTTTTCAGATTCGCGATCTCTGGAGGCAACTTCCCAGAGAAATGGTTAGCTGATATATCAAATTCCTGCAGAAGAGTCAGATTTGCTAACTCTGAAGGAATTTCTCCAGTCAAATTGTTAGCAAAAAGCTCAATCTTTGTCAGCTTTTGCAACTCAGAAATTGATTCAGACAACTTCCCACATAGCCTATTCCTTGACAAATCAAATGTAACAAGCTCTTTCAGGCCATAAATTGATTCTGGAATTTCTCCTACCCTCTTGCAGTTGGATAAGAACAGCCAAGTCAAGTTCTTCAGATTGCCTAGACTGTCCGGTAATCGCCCTTCGTTGAAAAAATTATTTCCTAGACCCAAAGAGACTAATCCTGTCATATTGCCAACCCAAGTAGGAAATTCACCATTCAAAAAATTATCTGACAAATCTAGCACCTCCAAATTTTTAAGACCAGAAAGATCAGGAATCCTACCCACCAACTTATTGATGGTAAAATTCAGAACCTTCAGATTTCTGCACTGGTTCAACTCTGATGGGATGTTCCCAGAAATGGAGTTTGATGGAAGAACAAGAAATTTAAGGCCTTGTAGCCTACACACAGAAGGCGAAACCTCGCCGGCTAATGAAGCATTATCTAGATGAATCCCATCTACTCTCCCAGTTTGTAAGTCACAGGACACTCCAGAAAATTCACAAGGAGAGTTGGAATCATTCCAGGATGTAAGGAGGTTTGATGGGTCTTTAAGGTGGGATTTGAATTCAAGAAGAACAGCTTTTTCGACCGTTAAAGATGCTAAATTTGGCGGGAAATAGCAAAATAAGAGGAAAAGAAGCATAATTTGATATGAATTGGTTGCCATTTTTGTGGCTAGACTATAAACTTCCATTAATGGTTTCGGTGACTCCATAGCCAACTTCTTGAGTACCTAATAATGAATGTGAACACAAAAAATAAATAAATCAAAGAAAAAACTAAGAAATCGATGAACTTTCCATCCACAATGATTCTACTGTACATGTTTTTAATGATGACTATTAACTTAATCCCAATGTCCATTATGCACAAATTTTTTTGAAGTATCATAAATGCCAAACTAAATGTTAGGTTCGATATTTGAAAGTGTTAAGTTGGATTCCACTATCGCTAATCCCTATTAGAGGAGGCGTGTATACAATGTACCAAGTTTTTCGTTCAACTCTTGGTTTCACACAATTTGTCAATCCAACAACTATAATTTATTAAACTTCTACAGTAAATTCATATGTACAACCTCATCAAATGTACCCATAATTAAAGATTACAAGGTAAAAAGGATCAACAAATTAAGCAGTTAATATGTCATTAATAAATAATGATGTGGGGTTAGGGTAAATCAAGGTAAAGTTGAAATCTTTCTTAGAAGCCACTCATATAGGGGCCATACCATAATCCAATCAACAATAATCATTACACAAAAAAACATGCACTACAACATTGACAACCCACAAAAATGTACGACTACTTGCTTTCTAAATTACTCCATATCACTTTGATTAATTTGCAGGAAACACAGGCCCTATATTCTACGCAAATTATAACAACTTTTTTTAGCAATAATTCCAATTATTAATCATAATAAATTAATAATCCAATTAATAATATAAGAAGTGCATGAATCATACTTAATCAAGTACTTTATCCATGAATAAAACATTAAAAAAAAAACAAGAAAATTTTACCTGAATATTCAAAGCAAAGAGCAGTAGAGTCAGAGCACCATTTTCTCTGTAAATTATGTTTATGTGTAGAAGAAAAAAAAGAGGGCGAAGAGAAGAAATATATTTATAATACAATACGAAATTAAAATGAAGGGTTTATGAGGTTATTAAGGTAATGATAAAATGTAATAGTAGTATAAATGGAAGTGAGACAGTGTGACAGAGAAGGTGAAGGAAGGAAGGAAGGAAGAAGAAAGAGAGCAAAAGTAATGAATGAAATGATATAGAGAATGTAGGCAAAATGAAATGGGATAATGCCTAAATTTTAGTATTTGGTGAAGTACAAATCTTAAGGGACCTTTGATTATGACATGGACCCCTTAAATAGTTTGTATCAAGTCAAGTAGAGTGAGAAAGTTTTGTCTATCTTGGAGGTTGTCATTCCTTTTTTTAATTCCGAATTTTGGTAGGGAATAAAAGAGGATTCTTTGATCTATTCTTGATGAGAGATTGAAAGATATATATATAGAAATGCTGATGTAGAGGAAATTTGGTTAATAGTTGTGCGTGATGTGTATTGTGATTTATAAAAAAATTTAACCTTTAATTAAGTTAACATTATTGTTAAGGACTTTTAAAAATAAAATCCCTGTTATTGAGATGGATGTGGGTTTAGGGATTAACAATCTCTAATAAATCTCTACGATTTCATATCAATTTTGATTCTTTATCCAAGATTCTACAATAATATTTCATTACTGCAGCTACAATAGATTATTTCATTGTAATTGTAGTCAAGAGCTGTAATAGATTATTTTACTTATTAAATTATAAAAGTATAATTAGATGGTTCCAACCATCAAATAAGTCTTGCTACCACCCTCGAGAAGCTGGGGATTCACCTCGACGGTTAACCTTGCGAGATTCACAATTACCACAGTGCCTAACCATGAACCTTTATGAGAATGATTATCTAGCGTATATGACTCCAAATAATATTAATTTCCCATCTTCCCAAAATTGGAAAATTTGATTCTAATAATCCCACCTTTGCCGGTTCGCTGCTAATAATCCCACCTTTTAATTATTATCTAATAATTCCACCTTTAGGGGGCATTCTCTTCTAATGGTCCCTAACCTGTTGGTGACCGATGTAATGGGTTAATATGCCACGTGTCACTTTGTGATTTGTCAAAATATTTTTTTATAATTCTTTTAAAAAAAAAAAATTTAAAAGTAATTTTTTTTCCCTTTCCTTCTTCCTTATCGTTTTAAAAACAAAAATAATTTTTTTTTTCTTACCTCTTGGTGGCCAAGGAATTTTTTTTTTTCTAAATTTTTTTTTTATATTTCTTTTAAAAAGTAATTTTTTTTCCCTTTCCTTCTTCCTTATCGTTTTGAAAACAAAAATAAAAAAATTAATTTTTTTCCTTTCCACCTGGTGGCCAAGGATTTTTTTTTTTGTTTTAAAAAAAAATTAAAAAGCAATTTTTTTTTCCCTTTCCTTCTTCCTTATCGTTTTGAAAACAAAAATAAAAAAATTAATATTTTTTCTTACCTCCTGGTGGCCAAGGAATTTTTTTTTTTCTTAAAAAAAATAAAATAAAAAAAACTTATCCGAACAACAAGTTACCGGTCATAAGGGACCATTAGAAGAGAATAACCCCCAAAGGTGGGATTATTAGATAATAATCAAAAGGTGGGATTATTAGCAGCGAACCGATTAAAGGTGGGATTATTAGAATCAAATTTTCCAAATTATAATTTCCCTCATTTTCTTCTATTCCCCCTTCATTTTATATATGAAATTATATGGAGTATAAATAAACATAAATTTAAATTTTATAAACGCAAGCTTGTAAACAATACCCCTCGTCATCAAATTAAACTATCTATTCCGTATGAACTATATATCCATTTCCAATGCTTAGTTCATAACAAGCAAGCCTACTAGAATACTTAGGAATACAATTGCATTACTACTGAGAATGACACTAGAATTACCTGATAAAATTTCATATAATTCATTAATTATATTATTTATACCATTAGCATATATTAAATTGTACTTCCTCTGTTCTTTTTTACTTAACCTGCTTTAACTTTTACTCTATTCACGACCCTTTCTTTGACCGTCTCTTGTGAATGATATGTAAGGAAAAATATATTCATGTGGTATCTTTTTTAATTTGTCTCAATAAGTACTATCATAATATACAACTTTTATAACTTTTACTTATGGAGAATTAAAGCTATTGATTGCTAAAATTTTGCATTGACAAGCGTGATAAAAGAAACAGGTCAAATTAAAAAGAACACAAAAAGTAAATGATTTGTAGGTTATCTACAGAATCACGAATGAGATCAAATTAGATACATTTGTTTTTTGGTGCGTGAATAAATGCTTTACATTGACAAAAACTTGTTAGAGCATCTTTACTTCCAAAAGCTTTTTATATAGCATAGCTAATGAAAGCCTAATTAATTTAATAAAGAAGAAATTGAGAATCTTATCTATAAACTTACCATATAAATTCTTTCAAAAAAAAAAAAAAAAAAAAAAAAAACATTACCATATAAGATGGTTATAAAGATAACTTTTCATGAGAGGGCCGTCTTTTTAATAATTCATTTTTTTTTGGTGTGTGTATATAAAGATTTATATGATAGGGAAAAAAAAGTAGAAAAAAAAATTGTATTATGGGATCAACTAAACAAAATAAATAAATAAATAAATTTACAAGCTAAGCAGATGGTTGAAATCTATGATTAATTTTTATACACTCTGACCTCACACCACTCACATGAGAGCCTGTAATTAATAATTGTACTCTATCAAATAACATATCCGATCAAAACATCTTAAAAATAATAATAAATGTACTTAATAGGTTAAAGTCTCGAGGATGATCATGAGAATTTAGTGAAACGGTATTCCATGATGATATATACGAGAGTCGTAAGATATGTTACGCCGTACCATTATTATCAAACAATACTTGTCCAAAACTATATATGTATTGGCCATTATAATACGGAGTAGCAATGTTTGTGTATAAGCCATTAAAACACCATGCCTTGACAGCTTAGGTTTGTAAGATAGTGCCGACAATCTGCAGATGAAGATAGGCCCTAATACATACATCAATCTACATATATATATTTGCTCACTACTTTACTATTAAACGTGTGCATGTACAGCTGAAAGTTGAACCACTTTAATAATATGTTCGATCTAGTACGTTTAATTATTGATGCATGGATGCAATGTACCAATTTCGATCTTCCATATAATTTCTTATCATAGGAATAAGTTTCATGTGTTTCAAAATATAGATTACCATATATATACATATATCGACCGTGGACGGCTGCTTCACACATTTATGAAGAGACCAACATACATCTACTAGCACCTTTCATTAACATGCATGACAGTACATAAGCAATATTATTGATCCAGTAGTGGTTTGGAGAACTTTTTAGAGGTTTATAATGAGTGCAAATTAGGTTTCCATCACTGTACCATTAGAACGATAATGGCAATTATAAACCATTAATTACAACGAACGTTAGTTTTCATGTCAATGCACATTTTATATCATTGGTGTCTTTAATTATACTTTTAGAAAAAAAATATAAAAAGTTTATATTGCGAAAGTATATATTGAGACAAATCCAATAAAATTCCACGTGACTTTGTTTTTACCAAAATAGCCACAAAATTGAACCAAACCAACTTATATGACTTTATGAGACACCTCATGCATTCACTTTAGTTTTGGAGAAAATTTCCAAAATTGGCCTGAAATCTTGAATTATAGCCTTTGCTTTTGAATAAATTTGGACTTTTTTGGACCTGAAAAGAAAACATGTTAGGGTGCTTTCCATGAATTTCACAACTCACCGGAAGGCCATTTGGATGGTTAGAACCATTCACTTTGCCTTTAAACCATCAAATTAGCCATTTCGTACACACCTTATCTAGGAAACTCAAGTCCACCCACATGCCTTTATATAACCGACTAATGGTCATATACGGTTCCTAACAATATTATATGAAGTTGCAGTGTTTTCAATGGACCCCACAACACCCCGGGAGATCATTTGTGTGGTTGGAACTATCCACTTATCCTTTAAATTGTCAATATGGCTATTTTTGTATACACCTCCTTTCATTGGCTAAAAGCCACCACAAACCTTTATGCCACTGTTTAATGGTTGTTTATGGTTCCAAACACCATTATATGACCTCGGAATGCGTCCCATACAATTTTGTGAGTTTTCAATGCAGGGTCCTAAAATCTTCCCAAGTGGTCCGATTTCGTGTAATATAGCCTTCAAATCTATCTTCCGTAAAATATTCTTGGACCTAGTAAGATTATACATTGAGGTGCTTCATGGGGTTTCCAAAAGGTTTTGGGAGTCTTACTTGGTGCCAAGAACCATCTCATTCATACCTTGGTCCACTCTTATTATATATCGTGGTCTTAAGATATTTTCTCTTATCTACTTAATTAATTACTGAGTATGTACATTGTAAATATTAATGAGTTATATAATGGATTAATGGGTTCACAAGTTTATTACGAGGCATTATATTTTCACTTCCCACTCTTTGTATCTCTCTTTTGGTAGCAAGTATGCCTGTAATATTGCCCCTTAATTTCCCAGTTTCTCGAGGCAACTTACACTCTTTGTAGGAGGATTATTAATGGGTTATACTGAGTATCAATTAAGGAAAAAAGTCATCAAAAGACTATCATGACAAAAAATTAAAGCGAATAATTTTTGGATTTAATGCATCGAATAGAAAGTTTATTTAGGCAAGAATTTAATCTCATGAATTATTCTTGAGCACCTTAAAAAGTGGGGAGTGGGCCAAATAGATTGATCACTTTTTTTTGATATATACTACTCTTAACATTTTTTATTTTTTTTTATTTTTTTTTGAAACTCTACTACTCTAAACATAATAAGTAAATAACCACTATATTATTTAATGTAGTGCTCACTTAATTGTTGGCTAAATTCTCTTTTAGTAGTCAATCTGAAGACGATATGGTGCTCATTTCATTTTCATTTCTTTCTTATCCAGAAATCTCGAGTATTTAAGTTAAAATGTAATTGCTATGAAAATAAAAGAATGCTACTTTTTCATAATTATGTCCAAGTTTCTCTGGTTTCTTCTCTGTCTCATTTCTTAGCATTTAATCATTCTGTCTCTTATGCTAGTCATATTTATTTTGTAAGGCCGAAATTTTATGAAATAATAGAGAAACTTTGAAGTGACCTAGCATTACCATATACAGTAACAAAAGATTAGTCCTACAAATTATATTTAAATTTATACTCTGAAACAAAAACAACATGTAATTAGAAATCGAAAACAATTTAATATTTCAAAGTATCTCCATCGGTTATTCGATTTCCTCACAGTAATATATGGATCTAAGTTAGTTGGATTAAAATCTTGTTACATCATATGAACACGTTACATGGGTCCATCACAATGAAATGTCTCACTCTACACGTTCACATTCTTGTTGTTTTATAGGCTAGAGGTAATGGTTGTAATTAAGCTCCTTTAAATGAATGATGTTGGCAAATTAAGGGTAGGAGCCACATCACCTTTCATTTAAGATACATTGATTTGTCTTTCTCTATCTTATTTGTTTATAGATATGGGTCAAAATTTGTCATTCTGGTTGTGATCATTTAGGCTTTTAAGTAAAGCCATGCATTCCATAGTAAAGTCTTATTTGTTTTCTTCAATTCTATTTTACCTTAATTTCACTTCTTATAATGAAATTAACTTTAAATAAGGATTAATAAGTTCAGATAAGTTAAACTCGGTAAAAATAAGTTTATACAAGTTTTATTATGTGTTAATTAGAGTGACTCAAGTTCAATTTACAGCTAAAATAAATTCTGATAATGTCTACTCTATAATAAGTTCAAATAAGATGAGATAAGTGAAAACAAGTAAATAGAACACCCGCTAAATTTTTAAGTTAGGCGGTATAGCTAAAAGATTTGGCTAGACTAATTAACTTTTTGGTTTCACTATTTTTATTTTACTATTATTATTGGTTTAACTTATGAACAAAAACCTGTCAAACCGTCTTTTACAAGAAGTTATCTTCTGTAACACATTAAGCAAATATAATAGTTCTTTTTTTTTTTTTTACAAGAAATAAAGTAGGTCTTGATATAGTGGATGTTCAAAGAGCAAATCTTTAGTCCTAAAAAAAGAGAAAAAAAAAAAAAAAGCAAATCCTTAATACCTTAAAATTTGGCTAACCTGTAAAGAAAAAAGTAACACGCAATAATATTCACATGGCATAATATCACATCAAATTAATACAATCAACATCAAAACTTAGCTGGGAAATACAAATAATACAGTGAATAGTATACCCCCAAAAATCTATACCATATAATTTTGACAGAATCTTTTAAGCTTTTGGGACCAATAAGTCTACTCATATATCTATAATTCCTGTAATTTACTTTGATTATTTTTTTACTTTATGGACCGCCATTAAATATAGTAACAATGAAATCTCATAAATCTCCACTTTTGGTTAGAGTTGCGTAAGGGTATAAATTAACCTAAGTATTTGGTAGAATCTAACATACATTATCATAAATCTAGAAGATTAATATCATATTCTAATTCCTCAACTTTTGACTATTCCATGTTATATTATACGAGTAATCAGGAACCAATTATAGAGACTTATAGAGAGTAACCAATATTGAACAAAGTGGCTAACCAAAGGAAAATGGAAGCTTGGGACCAATATGCTATGCTAGTCTTACATTTGTGTTTGAGCACTTGTCATTAATGGTCTCAAAGTGCTGAAATCAGTCAAAAAGCTCGGTTGAACATGAGCACACGAAACGCCTACTAGTCTACTACATTGCCTTTGTGTTGTCTGAGAAATCGAACTTTGAATGTCTATTTCACTATAAGTGAAGGGGAAAGATGATGAGTAGGCCAAGATAGATCAGGTAAAATGAATATCAACAAGTCAGTTCCTTGTAAATGAAGTTCTGGTCATAGCTCCAGGATCCTGGCATAACTTCAAGAAACACCATCAAGAATGAAACATAATAGTGACAACCTGCAGACTGGACAAGGCAGATGCGGCTGTGCATCCCTTTGCCTCGTTATTTAGATGCAAGTAGTCATCAGTAAAATGGTTCCTTCTGTATGCTCCAGGTTTTTTTGGTTTATAACGATCAAACACAATGGAATTTAACCTCTCGCTGCTCATCACACTGAAATAATACCAGAAACCCAACTGTTTGTAGTAATTTTCACAACCATCATGCAGGAATATTCTATACAATTTGCAGTGAATATTATTGCTAATCTTGGACTTTTGAACTAATATCATCACTCCATAAAACAAAATCATGAGATCATTCGACTACATATTCATAACCCAATGACATAAAACACTACCTCATGAATTTACCAAAAATTTGCACAGGGCTGGACTAGTCCTCGATCAACAAATCTTTAGATATTTGACATCGGGTCACATTGTTGATCACATATCAAGGACTACGTACTGTGATTGCGCCCAAGTATGCAGAACTAACATTCTATCTTCCAACAGCTAGAGTAAAAACTTCCGGGCATAACCTATCAGAATGGACCTGCTGTCCCTGGGAAGAGCTGTTGTATTTTGTTGAAGACATCCATTACCTGACATAAACTTTACCAAATACATCATAAATATACCTCAGAATTCAGCAACTCCTAAATTTATTGGCTGGTTGTCTAGTCACAGAAGTGGATTTAACTTAATCTACAACATGCAACTAAAGCAGGTCTTACTACGGAGTATAAATTTTACAATTAATCTGTAACATTCAGGGAATAAGGGGTCAAAACTGGAAACAGTCTACTATTCTGGAATGTTTTGAAAACTGGAATTTGTCAAAACTAGTTAGGAGGAATAATTGGATAGTGTTGTGTTAAACTCTAGCTTTGTAGGCCATAGCTTAAGGTTTAAAATTTGCGTTGGCATTGCGCTTTGTTGTAAATGTACTGAAACCAGTGTACACTAATTTGCCTTCCCTTTGCAAAGCTGTAGGTTTAACATTGGAAAAGGGCTACCTTAGGATATGTTTTTGGATGTTACTTTGGGTTACAAAATACTACGTAGGTGATAAAAAATTAAATTTATCACAAGTTTCAGAATAGGTTATAAATGGTGATCATGCTGAAGCAGCACTAAAGATCGCAAGACATCAATAGAAAGCTAAAAATCCACAAAATGTATATTACTCCCTAATTTAACAACCATTACCTCCTTATCATTTTGATAATTGACAATATTCATGGGATTCTGAGAAACCTGCAATAGCAACAGGAGTCAGACGAGTTCACTAGAGAAAGAGTATGACTGTAAAATGAGAAGAACTTACATCCATTATGGCTTGTTGAACTCTGGGGTTCTGGAATGCCATGGCAACATCAGGATTAGCCATAATTTTTGAGATAACTTCTTCAGGAGTAAGTCCGATTTGGTCTAAAAAGATTACACAGAAAATTAGTCCATAAACAAAGATAGACCAAGAAGCTTTGAAGGTAATCACACTTTATCAATCACATGATTTCAATAATCAAATGGATTACAAATTTACAACCACAGTGAATCCAATTAAGCCAGAGATGTATTTCGTTACATGGGTTCCATGACAACTTGACAGGTGCCTGAGCACAAAATTGTAAATTATCACAGTACATCTAATGACTCTGGTAACCAGACAAAGGGATGTTAGTTTTTCCAGGAAGACATCTAACTAAATGGTAAGCCACACCATCTGTTACATCAAGGATGGATCCTCTTCAAATCAACCTAAAACATTCTTTTTGTCCAACCATCATCATTTATTATGTTTTTCAAACATAAAACTGATTCAGAAGTCATGGGATATTTCTATGAGGACTCGTGATCAGCAGCATATTGCAGCATGCTTAAAAAAAAGTCATAAATGGGGGGATCCTGTGTTCTAGTTCAGAAGCTACTGCATGTAACCTACATGCATGAAAGGGGCTTAAGGACCTTAGACCAGATAAGTGATCTATTTTACTTTGGAAGTGGATCCAGGTTATGATGAAGGAACAATGTCAATTAAAACATCAGAGTTTTGGGTTGAATTTTTTGAATTACTTCCTAGTTCAAGTTATTGACGTGTAATATTTGAATGGTGGTAGAGTGATCAAAGCCTCTCATATTCACCCCCCACCTCCCCTGTCCAACTTCATCAGACAAATTTAGAAATAGAAATCTGCAGCAACAAACAAGATAGATCAAAAAATGTTAGGGTACTTCATTCGGTTATTGGAGTATGATAACTTCTATATGATGGACTGGTGATTGATGAGAACCTTGATAAAAAAATAAAAATAAAAAAAAAATGAAAAAAAAAAAGCACTTTTTAAAAACTAGGTTGAAGTTTGGCATGTGGGGTTCTTGCTTTGTCCTTTTCCAAGCTTTTATGTCTATATCTCTTTCCAAAAATGGTATGAGGCAAGCTCGATGCGACCACACATGGAAAATGGGGGCAATCTTATTGGGATGGAGAGAGTACTATATAATAGAAAGGCCAAATTAGAAAATAACACCTGCTAAAGACCCCGATTTTGTTTTTAACACCTGTTAAAAAAAAAGTTTTATTATAACACCTCTAAAATCCCAAAATTTTGGTTTCACCACCCACTAACGGATTTTTGGATGGAAACCGTTAGTGAGGCCCGCCATGTACACGTGTCAGTTGTTTATTGGCTTAAAATTTTTTTTTTAAAAAAAAAAGAAAATTTAAAAAAAATATATATTGATTAATTAAAAAAACCACCCACCAGCCCCAACCACCCTCCCAGCCGCCTGTTCCGGCCGTCCTTACTGCCGGACTCCCCTGCCCCACAGCGCCGACCACCCAGACCGCCTCCCCTAGCGCCGACGCCCCCCTCCCCCTCCCCCAAACCACCAACCTCCCTTCCACCGTCACGAAAACCCTTGAAAACCAACCATCCCGCAACCCTCGAAAACCCTCTCTTTGCACCGGCACCACTTGCGGCCAGCCGCCTCTTCCCTTCCCCTTCCCTATTTCCTACCCTGATTCCTAATTTCCGGCGCCAATCACCAATTTCCGACACCTCCCTTGCTTCCCCCACCCCAACCTAGCCCAGAAACCTTAGTCGTCCGGAGCTTGGGACCGTTTTCGAAGGTGGGAAGGGAAGAGGTCGGTTTGTGGGTTGAGGGAAAGGAGGGGGGGCGGTTTTAGTGGTGTGGGAAGGGAGGGGGCGCCGGTTTCGGCGATGCGGGAAGGGAGGAGGTCCATTTAAGGGGGTTGCGTTGGGTTAAGGGTGATGGCGGTTTTCGAGGTGGGTTAAGGGTGGGGGAGCCGATTTCCGGTGTTAGAGGTGGTTCGGCGGCGAAAATCGATGGCTGGTGGTCGGTGGTTGGTTGGTTCTGGGGTAGGCAGGGGAGAAGGCCACCATTTGTGGCTGGCCGCAGGTGGTGCCGGTGCGGTGGCTGGCTGGATTAAGGGGTTAAGTTTTTTTTTTTTTAATTTTTTTTAAACCAATTAACAACTGACATGTGTACATGGTGGCCCCCATTAACGGTTTCCATCCAAAAATCCGTTAGTGGGTAGTGAAACCAAAATTTTGGGATTTTTGGAGGTGTTATAATAAAACTTTTTTTTTTAACAGGTGTTAAAAACAAAATCGGGGTCTTTAGCAGGTGTTATTTTCTAATTTGGCCTAATAGAAATGGAAAAATAGCCCTCGTTCAGAAAAAGGGAAAGGAAACTGTCTGAAAACAATGTCGCACTTAAAATTAAAAGTTAATGAAACTCACCAAACTGTTGCTTAACTTCTGGACTATTCAAATCAAAATTTTTTAGATTATCAACCATGCGGTTGTCCCATTCTGGGCTTCCTCCCATGTTGTCCCTGGGATATAAGCATAATGATCAGCACCTAATTCTTGAAACAAGATTAAAGCTCTAAAAAGGAAAAGGAAGGAAGACAACCATTACGTGAAGCATAACTACACCAGGGACAAATAAATCAACCAAGATTGCACGACAGATCTATAGTGGTAATAGCCTACTAAAACAGCAACTCAAACGATATGCCACAACAATAACTCCAAAAAGTAATTTAAATATATTTGTAAATAATAGCTGAAATTTTTGTTTAGAATATTTCATTGCTTAAAAGAAATGAGAATTTCTGAATAATATTAAAGGCTAAACTATACATCAAAATTTCATTTGTAGATACTTCGTACTACCAACACCAACGGGTACAAAGGGCTTCTTAATCAAAGTGTAAACATGGGTGTGGTGGGAAACTTAAAACTTTTAACAAACGGCTGATTTGATGATGGGAAAGAGATAACCAGAAGCAATTAGGGTGTAGAAACACATTATACATTGCACCTGCAGCCTAATTGTGCAATTCATCAGAATTCAACATATAGTTGCACCTCATAATTAACAGGCCTTCCAGTAGATCTCTAAAGTCCACTTTGGTGAAGTAAAGTTTTACGGAGTACATCCAGTGGTCATGCAAAACATATGTTATATCCTATATGGAGTACATATAAATTTAGAAAATGGCATAACATAGAAAAAGAGCAAAACCATATATTCTTATGATCAATTTTTAAAACTTGAAATGATAGCATCATATAGAACAAACATGGACAGCATAATAGTGAAACTCACAGCATTTCTTGCAGCTGTTGACGGTATACTGGATTTTGTAGCATCCCTGCAATAGAGTTAAGTTAGCATTTACTGTAACTTATTTGCAGAATTCCCAACAAGGAGAGTAAATAGGAGAAGATCACCATATACTCCCACTGTCCCAACATAAACTTTCACTTATGGTGCAATAGTGCAAGACATAAAATTACTTGCCAGAATTCCTTTTTAAAGGGAATAACTTGTGTAAAATAAAAAAAAATTTATGGGTATGGAAAGGAAGCTTCCTTCATTCAGCCAATAGCCTCCGAGAAGGATCCCTGGCTCCCAAACTAAGGTCACTCACTGAACAATACAGCTTAACACATAAGAAATGTAATTAGAAGGTACACCCTCTGTCCCTTTAAGTTTGAACCATTTGTCCCTTTGAGCTTGCCCCATACCCATAAAATAAGTTGTCTTCACTTGATAGCCCACGTAACTCTACTGGGTTTGTGATATAATCAAGGCAATTAACTCTTAAAAATAGGTATAGGTGGGCTCAACTCACTTAATCTATATCTTTTTTTTTTTTTTTACTGATCTTAATGTTTTTTTTTTTTCACTTGTCTCTTTTACCAAACCCACTCCCACTCTCTCTCTCTCTCTCTCTCTCTCTCTCTCTCTCTCTCTCTCTCTCTCTCTACACCTTGTTTTATGGTGATATGGTCTGTGACTCTGGGTTACTAACTTAGATCTAAACATAACTATTTTGACAGTTGTAATAGTTAGAGATATGAGATCAAATCATATCGGAAAATATATCTATATTTTCCGATATGATTTGATCTCATATCTCTAACATAATGGCATTGGTGCTGGTCATAATTTGGGGTTTCTTCTCATACCCTGCATTCAAATTCGGGTTTCTTCTCCTAGTTCACCTTTGTACTCCTCCATTTATAATTTCCTCAAATTGTTGTGTATTAATCATGAGATCAGAATACTGCATTGATTCCAATGGTAATCTCAAACTAATCCCAAGTAAAGTCAGGTGAAGAAAAGTAATAGCAGCCCCAATTTCTTTCTCATGCTTAGTCTACTAATTTAAGTTGGCAAAAGGACAAATCACAACCCTACATACTCAAACTTTGCCAAAGGCTTAAAAAAGTGAAAATTAATCTATGGCAGCTATGGGGCAATCCAAAAGGGAAAGAGGAGTAATAATTATGCCTAGTCAGCTTCCCAAGAACCAATAAACAATCTCAAATCTCAAAGGAAGCAAGAGGGTAGCCTCTTTAGATTGATCTATCACCTCTTAAGGTATTAAGGATGAGCACCATCGACTAAACCTGATATTCCGAGAAAAGCCCAGAATCATTCTCAAAGGATCAACAACAAAGCCAAGCCACAGAAGTAGAAAAGTTTGATAATACTATAGAGGAATAGGTTGATATTGGTCAAATTCACCTATGAAAAATCCAATTTGAAGATTATACCACAGGCAAGCCTAGGAAAATCTTCTGAGAGCAACTATAAATTTTTCTTGAGATTGAACAATGGTGCTCATGAAATATATTCAAGATTTCCATGATAAATCTAGGCAAACTTGTGTTAAAGGATCCCAACTACTAATCAACCTTCCAAGGTCACTCGAGGTTAATTGGTTTATCAAACCAAGACATTGAATTTGGAAATCACCCTTGGAAAAACTCAATTAAAGGAACAAGTCATGCTAAAATAACCCATCAACTATAGTCACATTTTCTCATAAAAACATGGTAGAAGCCTCATCGAATTGATAATAATATTTGAACCAACAAAAAAATTCATAATCCAGATTCCAGAAGCACCCCTTCCAATTAAGGTTTTCATTTTGCAAACATATCCCATTGTCTTACTTTCCATCCTGTGCACATCTATCACATGTAACTGATGTGCATACTGTTTTGTCATATAGTTACCACCACTTACCTCAAAGAACCAAAATTCAGCAACCAATTGTCAAGGATTTGATTGTTATAAGTTTACCTAGCCAACCTAACTCTAAAGGTTGTACCTATCCAGAACCAAATTGCACCAAGTATTGCCTAACCTGATTTTGATTTGACCCAGCTGAAATAATTGTATGACTTATATTGTTTGATTTATCATAATAAGCTAATTGACTAACAAATCACTCAAAATTTGACCCAGGTCGACCTATTTGCCAACAGTATTTTTGAGAGATGGTGGTCATGCATGGTTGCTCATGATTATGCATGTTTTGTTGGAATGCTGAACATTCCTCCTCTTAATCAACTAAAAAATATAGTAAGCAGGAAGGAGTAGCTGCCAATAGTGCAAAGGAAATCCAAAAGCTAAATTGTCCATTGCAAGCTTTTCCAGGATTTCAATTCTGAATAAAAAGCTTTAATTTTAGTAAATGAAATCTAACAATACACCATATGTTAAGAATTAAAGCAGGCTAGAGGAGGTGAATCAGCAGGCTTACACTTAAAGGTAGCTGGGTCCCTCATCTCTGCAGGCAAATGTCTGCAACAAAAATATAAAAATAATTTTAAAATATCTCCATGTTGTTCATTTCTAGATTGTAGCATATCAAGTTTAAACTTCATTGCTTATAAAAAAAAAAAAGCCCAAGCTAGATCAGGCAGCACATTCATGCCATACCACATTCAAATGACAAGGGAAAGAGAAGAGTAAACTCAATTCCACAGATACTCCAGTATTATCATTGAGAATTTCTCTCTTAGTTCCAAATTGTTTACTAGATTTGAAATTTGTGACACTTGCATAGTAGAAATCAATATATTTAAAAGCAATGCCTTGAAAACTTTTTTATCCGTAAAATGGACAACAAAGTCAATTTCTGATTAATTACAGTTACTAACAATTTGTTTGCAAAGCTTCTTGTCAAAATGAGTTGGAAGCTAACAGTGCTGAGCAGATAAGCAATATAATGAAGGTGATATGGAGGAATAAAGTTAAGGATTAGAGAGAGATATAACATCTAAGCTCCTCTTATATTTCCTAATATAATAGTTGTGTCTAAATTAGAAGTGGGTGCGTGGGTCTGTTCAAAAAAAAAAAAGAAGAAGTGGGTGCGTGGGTAGTTGCACGAGAGAGAGAGAGAGAGAGAGACTAACAGCAGTTTTAAATTTAAGGCCATAAAGATTGTTAAACTAATACACTATAAGATCACAATGTAAAGAGACATTACGGGAAAACCATCTTCTGCACAGTTGGATCCTCCATCATTTTCTCCAAAGTGTCCACAGATAGCAAAGAACCATTCTTTCCTGGGGCTGGGAGGACAATAAAAAAATCACAAAAGTCATTCCATGATTTAATGAGGGAAAAAAACATAAAAAAAATCATGCTCAGCTAGCAAATACGTACAACAGAAGTAAGCTTATGAGGTTGGCTGTTCATCTATATCATCAAACTAGTCATTTCATCAAACTAGTACAAATTTACACAATGTACAAGTATACAATCTAAACACCTAATGGAAACAAAGCTCAAGCAGAATCAATTTCCTCATTACTTTTCAAAGAGTGACATGGCTTCCACATTGTCAACAGCAACCTTCTCTACTGCAATTATCCTCTATTGGTCAATTATACCTTGGGTATAAAAAATATGTATATCATCCGAGGACTTACGAGTAGATTGGGCCTGCTCCGAAGTATTTGAAGCAGCTCCATTTTGTACTACCTGTATATAATGAAGTTAGACATACCAAACGCATATCATAAATACTGTGCCAAACATATTGCTGATCCACAATAATCACTACCTCAGCAAAGTTTGCATTCTCAGATGATGTTGCCGAAGATGAATTGCTATAGTTCTCAAATGCAGTGTTTTGAAAAGTTTCTTCAGGAGAGACATCTACAAACGCTGCATATAAAAAGGATTCCACTTAATGAAAATGAAACGGCTGTCTTTAATAAGCATTAAGATAGAATGGTGTGTACTGAAGAAGCACATTTTCAGCATACTAAAGATGCTACATCATGTTAGCAGCTTGTAAAAACCAAGTAGCAGCTTGTAAAAACCAAGTTTTCAAAAACCCGTCAAATCACGAGAGATAACCCAGAAAGTTTTAAAAATAAAAAATAAAGCAGCTTTTATAAAAAAAAATTGCATTGAAATTTATAAAAATCAGGAAGTCAGGAACCACTAATTGAAGCAAGTAACAATACCAGATCTTTTTTCTTCAGTCTTAGTTTCAGTTTCATCTTCAAAAACTGCAGGCCCTGAAGGTTCTGTTTTAGTTGCAGAAACATCAACTGACACAGTGGCTTCAGAAGCAGCAGGAGAAGGAGAGGTAGCCCGGCTGGGTGCAGAAGAGGCATTCAGCTCTATTGTAGATGGTCGTTGGTAAGAAAAACCAGAAGTACTAGAGCCTGCTGTAGGTGGAGGTGGGAATGGGAAAGGTGAGCCAGTAGAAATGGCCGCATTACTAAATTGATTATCTTTTGAGCCCATCTGATTCATCATAGTCTTAACAGCTACTTGCATTGCTTTTTTCTGACAGAATCAAAAGTTCAGTTCCACAAAAAAAATAACAAAAAAAAGGTTTGCAAGCAATAGATACATGAAGCTATAATTTCCATAACCCGGGACAACATAAGCCTAGAAATAGTCAAGAATGAGACAAGTCAATTGATCCATAGGCAACAATAAACATAGTAATCATGAAATAATCAGGATACTAAACCTCTGCATGAATGATTTTTATAAGCCAGACATACACACAACGCAATGCTATATGCCAAGTAATAAGGCAGATTTTTTGGTGAGTGATGACAACACTTTGCAGGGTCCAAAAATTCCCCAAAACAACATCAGTTATCAATTGAAAGGTCTTGTAAGCAACAAAGCTTAAATGTATTTGACATCAACAACTAGTGACAATCCAATATGGGTCCTACATGTGAGAGGTTATAAAGATAAAGTATTTTTTGAAAATAAAATAGTTAAAGGTAAAGAGCTTCAAATTTAAGTTATGTAATTTAATTCTTAAGCAATATCAAAGGAAAGAGAGAAACAGGAAGGGGAAAAAAAAAGAAAAATCATTAGTATAAATAACAAACTAATAATGCATATTTAACACACAACACATAAGAGAAAGAGGAGAACCTAGGATTTCAGGACACTATATAGATGTGAATGGTGGAAGAGGATCTTAAATGATGACTGCCAGAGATCAAATATATGGTTCCAGAAGCCAAGTCCATCTTACTTGTTGTTCTTATTGTTGTTCTTAAAGGCAGATCCCCATAAGATAGCTAGGTTGTGGCCCTGCTGTTAATTCTAAATATCCAACTATTGACCACACTTACATAGCCATTGGAACACCTCGATACGTCCAACTTAGAAAACTAATTTCAGGGAGTTCCAGATACTCAGAACTAATTCTAATTTCAAATTTTCAAAGTTATATGAAAATCAAAATTTTTATAACTGTTAATATACATTCCATGTTCAGTGTTTTCACCGCCAATTCGCCAAAGTTGTCATTAATACATTCTTGAATTAGCAAATCCCATTGCATACCCCCTATGAGTGTGGTGGTAACTAGTAAGCACACCCTGTGCATCTACGACTGTTGAAATACGAATATAACCATAGCTAACGATTGATGCAAAGCAGCTGTTATAAGAAAGATGTATTTCCAAATTGTGTCCACAATTTCGTTTTAAACCTCATTAATAATTTTGATATGTATTACGAAGACATGCATCAAGTACCCGCTATAGCATTTGATCATTAGCTATCTCAAGACCAATCAATTCTCTCAATAGAGCACTCCATTAAAGGTTCAATAGAATAAATGGCTCATTGTGTTGGCATGAAAGCATATAAGGCCTTTATTTCCTCTCTTTACTCTCTTCTCTGTCACTCTTTCAGCTTTCATATAAAATATCGAACCCGCTATAGCATTAACTGTCTTCTCCACAACTCCAAAAGGGTTTTAAAATCTTAAGTAATAAACACCAGCCACCAGTTCAAACGCAGATCATAGTAGATGCCATAACAGTCTAACTTGATTCTTTCAGCAGGAATATAATAAGACTATTCAAATAGAGAATTGTGCTATGTGAAAGTTCACAAAATAGTTGTGGCAATTCCAAGAAGCATGATAAGATGTTAATGTATAGCGTGGATTTGAGAACTCGAAACAAATTGCATAATTGCAAACTCAATCACTTTCATCCTTCAATTTATACAAATAATTGACACACATACAAATCAATTAGCCAGTTCCTAAAACCAAACAAAACTTACCTGCGTCCATGAAGAAACAAAGGAGAAAATCGCAGAGATGCCAACACCAACTCCAATCCAAAACAAAGGTGACCCACTACAAACCCACATCAACACAAGTTAGAATTAAACAATTTGAAACTAAATTCAATCCCTAAAAATAAAATTAAAATTAAAAAAAAAATAATAACAGCAAAAAAAGGCATTAAAAACCCAAAAATATAAGAAAAATCAGAGAAATTACAATTGAGAAGAGGAAGGTGGAGGATAAGATTGTGGATTAACACCAACAGAAGTAGTTGTCTCTTGAGAAGTTGCAGAAGTACTTGCAAATAATTCAGCCCCATTATCTTTCTTCTCATTCTTAGAAGATTTTCTCCTGGAATTTGGGGTGGAGAAAGCAAATAAGATGGTTTTTGATCTGGGTTTTGAAACTAAGAGAAACCCACTTGGTTTAGGGGGTAAAAGAGGGAGCCCAAAGCACTGTGTGGTTGAAAGGGTTCTATAATTTGGGGAATAGCTTAATCCCATTACAGGTTTTGATGAAACTAGGGCTAAATTTTCCATCTTTTTTGGATTCAGATAATAAGAAATCCCAGAATTGAAGATTGGAGTTATTGAAAATGGTGGTTGATTGTGAATTGGAGGATGAAGATGCTAAAAAGTTGCGAGTTTTAGCTCAGTGAGTGGAGAGAGAGAAAGAGAGTGTTGCCGTATTGGCTTCAGTGGGACAGATAATCAACGAAATTGAGAAGAAGAGAGTGCACAGCAATGGGTTGAAGTGAAGATGGCCTCGCTATCTCTATTTTCTTGGGCTGTCAATATGGCCAGTTCCAATATCCGTCCCTCGCCCAGAGTTGATCATGGATCGGGTCGGATAAAGTCCTTGTAGAGATGGCAAAAAGTCGTGTTATGTCGTGTTTATGTTTGGTCCCGTGTCAATTTTGTGTTGTTCACAAAATCTACCAAAAACTATGTAAAATGTAGGATAATTGCATAATTTAACCATTTTATCTAAACGGGTCGTGTTTGAGTTGGTTTCGTGTCGTGTCGATTTTGCGTTTTCTCACTGTAATTTTGTGTTCGTGTCTGCCGATTTCGGTCGTGTTGTTGTGTCGTGTCATGTCATAGATTGCTAGCTCTAGTTTTCTGGATAGAGGTTTTTTTTTTTAAATTGTTTATCTTTGTTATTAAATTTTATATGAAGTACTAAGAGCAAATTCAATAATTGTAGCTAGGGACTTGCTTGTAATATTAAATAATCCCTAACTATTAGCTTAACCATTGGAGTTAGAAAATGCAATTAGCTTGGCAAAAAACAAGCCAAAAAAAAAAGAAAAATAAAATGAAATATAAAAAAGTTAATTAAGGAGGTTAGGTTTACTTATTTAATAGTAAGCTAATAGCTAGCTATTGGAGCTTAAATTAGCTAAAAAGCTTATGTGACATTCTTTAAAAAAAAAAAAAAAAAAAAAAAAGTGCTTATGTGACATGAAAAACTAATTTGACAATTAGCTTGCTATTGGAGTTGCTCTAATATACTAAGTAAATGCTAACATCTTTGTATTATGGCCATGTTAAATGGCTTTTTGGTTAATTTTTGGCTTTTGGCTTTTTTATGTGGTCAAACAGCCAAAAAAAGTGTTTGGTAATTGGCTTTTCATTCAGCGAAAAAGCTGGTTTTTAAGCCAAAATGAAAAAGCTACTTTGAGTTGCTTTATTTGTTGACTTGTTGGCTTGTTGGCCCACAAATTATCTAATAAACAGCCAACAACCAATAACTAAATTTACCAAACACTTTTATAAACAGCCAGCATAAACAGACAATTTCAAAAGCCATCATAAACAGCCAAATATTCCAGCTGGTCAAACAAGCCAAGTAAACCAGCCAACCGCCAATAGCCATTTGCCAAACAAGGCCTTTGTGATTATCCTTCTTTATTAAAATTATAATTTAACATGAGACTATGGTTAAAGACTTGATAAAGAATAGTAATACTTATTGATTATATTTATTTAAAATAATATTGTGACTTGTAAGCAACTGCATTTATATAACTGAGAGTCAAAATCTTGCATATAATTTAAATGTTAATGGTCAAATTAATGCATTAGATAGTGAAAGTAAAACAAGGAGATTATTTATAAGAAAAAGTAAATTAGTATAGAGCAGCATGATACAATGATACTTCACCCCTATAATACACCATGGCTACACCATGGCTTTCTCTTCATCATGCTCTATTTTCCTCCCACTCTTGGCTACCTCCACATCCGGTGTACGCCACCACCTTCATGACAACGGCCTAAAAACCGATGCACTTCACACTCTACCAACTACATGATAAACTAAACGTATCTAGTGGCCCTTTGGGAAGTATTTTTGCATTTCGAGATCCATTTACTGCCATGCCAGATCCTTCCTCCGAGCTTCTAGTATAGGGGTTGTGGGGTGGATCAGAGGGTGTTTTGGTCACATGAAGCTTCAATGGGGCTATTTGTCCATTGGCAAGATCACCCTCAACCCAACTCTTCTAGTATTCCTGTGGTTGGTGGTACTTGAGAGTTCTTGTTTGTACAAGGATGTTTGGAAATAACTATTGTTGATCTGAAGGGCTTCACTAACATTTACAAATTGGACTTCCATCTGTATTGGCCTCCTTATGCTGCTCAAGCACTCGAGTGCTGATCCTTTAACATTCACTAGTTCGAATATCTACAGCACTAAGAAAGTTTTTCCTTTGTCAACAAAAACAAACTAAATACTCATAAGTACTAAGAAGTGTATGTGGTTTTGATTTGTGAATTATAAGAAACAATAATCAAAATATTAAGGTGTCAATATGCATTTGGAGACGGCTAGCACTTGTAAAACAAGATCGTATTGTAATTTGGACTTATCCCAAGCACTTTGCAATTCAGTGTGATTGTTCACAAATGTTTGTCAGCATACCCTTTATACATTCTGATTCTACACAAAAACTCAGTTTCTGATGCATATAGCAGCCACTATATTAGCAGTCATCATCTACTGATCTACATACTAAGTCTTTTTCACCAAGTAACAAACTTCAGGAAGAACCCAGGGAGCAAAATTCAGAAATATCAGCTAACATATTCACTAGGACGTATGATCTTCACGACTTGCCCACGTTGAAAGCCGTAATGTCTTGCAACAGGGTCAGTGACCAGCATTCTCGGTAGCTGAAAAGAGGAAGTCAGAAAGCATAAAAGAGATCAACTAGACAGTAAAGACTAACATGAGCGATACTTGTTTTAATGCAACCACAGGACATTTTCTACAAATTACGAGCATGGGTGAGCTGATTGTGCATTACTGACCTGAGTTTCCTTAACTTTATACTTCTCAAGCACTGCCTTCTTTTCCCCATCTGTAAGCACCTGATGCTCTGGAACAAGATCGTGCTCGGTAACATTATTCAACAGTTCAGAATCCTGCATCACAAATTTTACACACATGAATCCTAGTCATTCCAAGCCCTGAAAATTTAACAATTATGTAATCTTAAAAAAGAGTTACAAACACACCTGGAAGACCTCTAACTTTATATTTGGTAATTCAACAGCCTTCTTTGCTGCAGCTGTCAAACCATGTTCAGTCACCAAAATTGCCCTGAATATTTTCTCAGATTGCATCCTCTCAATGCATTTCTTGAGTGGGCCTATACCTATGGTTTCCTTGGATGGCTCCGGAATCAGAAAGATAACCATAATCTGTAGCACGACAATTTGACTAGTTAAACGTTGTATTACTCAGACTTAATTTCATCTCAAGTATCTATGCCCAATCTTTAACACTCCGATAGAAGTATAAACAGGACGTGCATATAAATTTATCGTAAAAAGGCCAACTACAACACTTGGACATGTAACAAAGTATGACTATGACATGAGTAAATACAAGAATATGGTAATAACATCCAGGAAATTAATGATCAACTTGATTGGTTTACCTGATCAGAAGTATCATTTTGCTTATTCTTAATCATGAAAAGGTTGTCTCGGCTCTTATTGTCACCATAATACTCAATAAACTGTTGCTTGGTCATGTTGATTTCGTCATCTGTTACTAAATAGCCTCGATCATTCAACATTTGCATTACAGTTTTCCGAACTTTGAGGAGTTTTGTAATTTCATCATCAGATGAAGACATTACTTACCAATAATGCCTACAAAAAAATAAAGCAGATGCTATTATTAATCTACAATCACTTTTGTACTAAACACCAATTAATTTATAGTCTTACATATAAAATCACAAATATGGAAATTGGGCATGTAGAGTCTAAATACGAAGTATATATCTAATAATTAGTCATATTAGCAAGTCAATAGTTCAAATTTCAAATTGATACTTGTTAGGGTTGGTGAGTGCACAGCGGAAGCGAAGATGTGTTTGATTGAGAAATATAAACTAAATTGATAATTGGCAAGATAATTAATATAAATAAACACACGATTTTATACAACAACGAGCACTTTTATTCCACTATTTGAAAGTATGAGAGTACAAGGAGGGATAATATTTTGTAGAAAGGCTTGTATTTGGTATGGCTTCTTGTGTTTTTGTGTTGTTGTTGTTGTTATGCTCTTGACCCATATTTATAGGTGAGGATGGAGGCTTCTAGATTTTTATGGGAATTTCTCCATAATTATGGCTCTTAATCTAGAGGCTTCTACTTTTAATATTCTCTAGAATATTCTAGGAGATATTAAAGTTGTAGATAACTCTAAAAAAATCAAGTGTAATCTTCTCTTGATTTTTCAGGAAGTTTCTAAATTATACTCCATCAATATAATGGGCTTATAAAATTTGGGCCATACCCAACAATACTGATACTCCACATTTAATGAACCTTAGACGAAATAACGTGAAGTCGAGAATGGTCCTTAGAGAGATACGGAGTACGAAGCATATTGTATGTAGTGTGGAATGTAACATATACGAAGTATTCTAGTAAAACAAGTAGTTTCGCAAACATAGATAAAATCATAAAAACATACAACTAATATATTTTAGGAAAAATTGACAAAAACAATCCCAACTTTCGCCAGTTCGCTCAAAATAATCTCAACTTTAGGGGTCATTAGCTCAAAATGATCCCAAGTGACTGCTGTTAAAGTGGTTTTTTTTTTCAGTTTTGAGTGACACGTGTCATTCAGCACATTATAGGTTGAAAAAATAAATAAAGTAAAAAACTTTAAAAATAAAAAAAAAAAGCTTAAAAAAAAATAAAAGAAAACTTTAAAAAATTAAAAAACAAACCCAGCCCCACCCACGTCCCCACCGCCAGTCGGTCATGACCCCCTTCCGAAACCCCCCATCAACACCGGCGCACTCCCCTACCCCCTGAACCGTCGTACCTGTACAACCATCGAGCCACACCACACCACAACAATCATTTCTATAAATTCCACAAACCACCACGAAACCAGCACTCCGCCGCGACCAGCACCTACCAACCCACAAACCACCACAAAACCACCTTGCAACCCCCAACCCCGCCCAGATCTGCTCGCCCCTAACCTTGCCGGCGCCCAGGCATTCCTCCTTGCCTCGGCGCCGGCACACTCCTCACCCTAACCCAATAGACCACCACCCAAAACACCCGTATGGCAACTCGAAACCCCCAAAAAATCCTCCCCCACCGCATTAAACCGAGGGTGGGGGAGGGCCGATTTGGGGGTTTAATGCGGTGGGGGAGGATTTTTTTGGGATTTCAGGTTGCGATTATTGAGTGGTTTGGTCTTTGGTGGTTCAGGGGAGAGGCATCGCCGGCGCCGGCGCCATAGGTGCCGGTGGGGATGGGGTTCCGGGAGGGGGTCATGGCTAAGTGGTGGAGAAGGTGGTCGTGGATGGAGCTTCCGGCAACTAGATTTTTTTTCTGTTTTTATTTTATTATCAGCCAATTAAATAGCAACACGTGTCACATTAACCTGTTATAACAGGTTAAGTGACCGGTTGAGATCATTTTGAGCGAATGACCCCCAAAGTTGGGATTATTTTTAACGAACCAACGAAAGTTGGGATTATTTTTGTCAATTTTTCATATATTTTAAAGTTAGAAATGTGTACTACACTACTACACCAAGTTACCAACAATACAGTTAATTCCAAAATTTAAAATCAATAAACCATATGCAATGATTAATAACATTAATGTGAGAGAAAATGAGTAATCAAAATTACACGGGTATTAATTTTAAGGGTAATGATATAAGTAGGCAATGTAGCCCTTAGAGCTATATATAAGCATTAAATATACTTCTTAAAATGGAATTAAATTGGGAATTCATGGCAAAATCACGCACAAATTGGTGTAATTAATACTCCCCCCGTTTCATAATTATATTAGTCCCATATACTATTTTGGGTGTTTCAAAAAGATCTACCCATATTGAATATGTTCCATTTTTAACTTAATTTTTTGGAATTAATTGTTTGTAAATTGATGACATGACTCTAAGTAAGGAAATCTCTACCTTGAATTATGCAATTATGACTTGTGCTTTCAAAAAAAAAATCAAAAAAAATTAAATAAGGTAAACTAATTATGAATTATTTTATACTTTAATGTTAGATTCCAAATAAAACGAAGGGAGTATTAATTTTTCCTCAATTTTTCCTTTTTTAGCTTCTTAAACAAAACAGTAAAAACATAACAAAAAATAAAGAAAGGATCTTTAGCATAAAATATATTGCAAGATTTCATGGGTTTTAAGATTGAGCTCAAGAAATTAGTACTGAATTATGTAACAGTAGGAGCAGAAAATTAAATTGGACCCATAAAAACAAAAAATCAAATTAAATTCAGAATTTTTCATAAGAGAGTTTACGAAGCGTCGGAATTGTAATATAGCGTCAGAAGTTCAGGTGGCGGCAACGGGTGGAGAAGACAGAAGAGAGATTATTGAGCAAAAACCCTCCAATGCAAAAACCTCAACAATCCAACATCATTCCGTAAGATTTACGGAGCAGAACATTCTCGACCTCCGTATGATTGCTCGTTCACAAATGTTTTCTTGACCATCATGTAATTATGAGGGTGTAGGTTTAATTTTTACTTAAGGGCAATTTGGAGATTTCTCCCACATTCCCCTGATTTCATAAATTGTCTAGTCTATTAATTCGCGTTGTCATTTTTATGGGCTTTTCAATTCCTAATAGAACGTATCTGTGCTAAAGCACGAGATGTAGTCTATGAATCTTTAAATATTTTAGTTTCTTTAAAAGATAAATGTAATAGGTAGTAATTTAATTGGAAGTTATTGCACAAAAAAAAAATAAAAAAAAAATAATGGATTGGAGTTTTAAAGTGTTGTACACTGTACTGCATTAGAAATTCTCACCACTTTTCATTCTACTTTCCAAAATTCTACGTCTGCCATACTGCCATCATCACCCCAAAAGATTCAAGCCATAGCCGATTGAATTCTTTGGATAATGTTACCCGGTACAAGTAATCTGTAGACTCTCATATATTGAATCCCAAATAAGGATTGAACCTCGTACGTCAAGGTTTAAAGATTCTTTGACCTTACCACCTTACGTAGTCTCAGGGTTGTGTGGTTACACAACTTTGCTACTCCCTCCGTTCCTGAAACTTCGACCCTATTGGGTTAATTTCGCGGGTATTAAGAAGTTAAATTGGAAGTGTAAGAGTGTATGGGGAAACTAAGAAAAGTACATTGAAAAGAGAATTTTATATTGGAATTGCAAAAAAGTAGAGAGAGAAAGTAATAAAAGTATATAGAAAAAGCAAAATTTGCATGGGGAAGCTAATTTTGCACAAATATTATTGCAAATTAGTGGGTATTAAAATGCAAATGGGATGAATATTTTAGGACTAAAATTAGGCCAAAAGGGTCGAAGTTTCGGGAACGGAGAGAGTAGTAAATTACAATAAGGATGACAAAAGTAGTTAAGAGATTATTAGTCACAACTTTATTCATCAATCCGAAACACAAATACTATAATTAAGGAATTGTTTGATTGACATGGAAATTAAATTTTCATAGGAAATTGCATTGCATTTAATAAAAAGCTATTTCCCTAATGAAATTCCTAGAAAATTATTAAACTTGTTTGGTTGGTAAGGTGAGAATTTAAAACTCCCATGAACTTCAATTCACTAGAGGCTTAGTAATTTACTTTCCTTGTTTCCTCCGTTTTTTCTTTTGTGTGTCACCAAACAACTATCCAACTAATCAAATTTCAAGAATTTCCACTTCCCCCATTTTATATTGTCAACCAAGAGCCTAGAAGCATTTTTAATTTTCATGAGGCTGAATATGGATTCGAAGACCTTCAACCGGATGTGGGTTTGGGTTATAAATCACCTTTTCATTTGGATTAATTTTGTGGAGTTTGAATTTAGTCACCACATTGTGCAGAAATACGAGTATTTCAATTCTTGTGTATTCTTTCCCTGCACACATTCTAGGCCCTGCTCCAAATGGTACAAATGCAAAGGGTGGCACTTTGTTGCTTTCAAACCTTGTCGGGTCGAATTTTTCTGGATCCGGAAATATTTTCGGGTCCATATTTGTTGAATGGTTATTCCAATGTACCTGATTCATACAACACAATACAAGAGTATTACGAGCTACCGAGTAATAATTATGAAACTTGTAATTTGCATTAAAAAAAAAGGTATTTCCTTCATTCTTTAATGTTCTTTTCATCCATTTACCAAATTATGAAGTATTACGAGCTTCACATCTAGATTGATAAATGAATGGTTCGTAGAATCGTAGTTTCGTACCTTCCATCCCTTAGGAATCTTAAAACCAGCATAAGTGACATCAGTGATAGTCTCCCTAAAACTTCCTTGGGCGGGTGGTTCAAGTCTCATTGTTTCACATACTGCATTCCATGAATACTTCATTTTTTGTACATCCTTCCATGTTAGTAGTTCCCCTGCCTCTTTTGATCGCGCAATCTCCAATTGCTCTAACAATCAATCCACATACATATACATATGCATATTACTTCAAATCACATAATAGTCATATTAGCAAGTATATTTTAAACACTAAGCAAATTGATTTGGCTTGTAACAAATTACTGGATCAAATCTAACTTGACTTCAATTTTGAATAGTACAATAAATTATATAACCGAGTTTAAACTGACCTTAGTCATTATTATTTGCAACATGGACACCACTGTTTTTTTAGAATTTTTTAGGTCAAATGTTGACTCAACTAGACTGGATGGACCCGAATCAAATGACTTGTTTTTGCTACAAATAAACTAATAAAGGATAAAGATGAATTGGGTCAAGAAAGTACCTTGTAAAACCTTCTCATAAACATGAGGATATTTAGCAAGGTTGTCTATCACAAAAGTGATAGTATTGCTTGTAGTAAAAAAGCTAGCAAACAAGAGAGAAATAATCCTTCCAGCAACAACCGTCTCATCGATCATCACCCCATTCTCTTGAGAAGCCATAAGCACCCTAGTCAACAAGTCGAAACCACCGTGATTTTTCCGAGATAACTCGATTTTCCTCTGTCTAATCTCATCAACAAGCTTACTTCGAAGCTCAGCTTCCCTCTTTCGAGCTTTGTAGTAAAGGGTGCCAGGAAAATTTATAGGCATCGCCACGGCCCCCTCGTTCAACACGTAAAAGGGTTCCGAAATACCCGTTACTTGTTCACTCTTATGGTAATCAAGAAACAAGCAACAAGAAAGAGCAAAAGTAAACTCCTTTGCAAGTAAGTGAACTTTTACTTCATTATCAGGAACCCAAAAAGATTGTAAATGTTGTTGTGCCTTAGAATCCATAATAGGCACAAGATATTGCATCGAATAGAGCTTAAGGAACTTGTGCAATTCCTCTGTTACTAATCTAGACGACGATGAATTCGTGTCGATGTTTGTTACTGAAAGAATAGCTGCAACTGAAGGAGGCAACCAGAATTTGAACAGATTTGTTTCATTTGAGAAGATGAATTTGTTAGCAGAAGGACCGCATAAAACAGCAACTTTTTCCCCTATGATAGAGGTCTTGAATACATCAGGGGAATACTTCATCATTCGATCCCATACGAATTTTTGGTTGTTTGAGACATATTCTAAGGTTTCTCCTATTATTGGCCACCCATTTTTGCCAGGAGGAATGTTATACAAAGATGAACACCTGATTTTTGTTTTGAAAACAGAGAAATATAAAATAAATATGCTGATAATAAGTATCAGAAAGGTTGTATAATTAAGCACATACACAAATATGGATTCCATATTTTTTGTTCTAAAACTCAAATAATTTTGAGATTCTTTTGGAGATACATATAGAAAAATATGTGATAATAAGAATTATGAAATGGGTGGAGAAGAAATAAATCAAGAAATTGTGTGAATGGTGTATATACTAATTTAATATTGGCATTAATGGGTTGAGTCTGATCTTTTGAATTGGATCACTGTTGGGGAATTTTTTTTTTCATGGTAATGATATGGGTTAGGCCCCTACGACCCAAGTTCTTGAGACCTCTTTAAGCCCAACTCAAAACTACAGTAGATGGCAACAAGTGAGATCCAAACCTTGTAAGGAAATGTCAATCTATGAGTTTGATGTCTACTTAAAATACCTAAAATGTCCATTACTTTTTTATGTATTCTTTTTATTTGGTGGTCTAAATGTTTCTGAAATTAAAAAATATGATTCGCGTGCATTTAAATCTAATACAATCAATAACTAAGCAATTTACTACTCCGTCAATTTCATATTGTTCTTCCTACTTCACTACCTTGAGAGTTGATATGGAATTTTATAATTTGATTGCACCCTACCATCATTTCTTAAGAAAAAGTAATCAAGGTATAAATGTAGTTGACTAAAAATTAATCGTTTGCTACTTATTTGATGAATAGGAAAAATTGGCGGTGCAAACTAAATTCCATATTAATCTTGAATAATAAAACCCCAATTAAGACTTAACTAAGCATCTAATCCATTTGCCATCCATGCTACTGTTCAAAATTTCAAATATAAATGTTATAGTTAAAATAGCAAGAGTAATGGAGTATTATAAACAGAGTATTGATTTACTACTACATTGTTACTTTGTTAGCATCAGGCATATTCAAGAAAGTTGTATCAATGAAATGAATTTATTACTAGGGGTAATTAACATGAGATATGGTCCCTGTAATTTTTTTTCTTCAATAGACGAATGTTGATTTAACTATGTAATTCGAGTAATTAGTACTTATTTAGTTACTTGACTTGATTTGCAAAGTTGGTCACTGAGCTCAGTTCATTGATGGTAGGTGTAGATATTGTAGTTCGATACATAACATGTAGGATTGTAGGGGTACATAACAAGTAGTCATATATGAAATACTTCCTTTGATCCATCTCACTAACTACACTTTAGTACAATTTGATTTACTTAAACGTGCAAAATCTAAATTACTAACAGGACATGCTTGTGGTACACATACAATGATATGTAATGTTTATATCATACTTCGAAAATTGATAATGTTATTAATTCTCAATGAGGCTGAAGATAAACTTGGAGGCCTTCTGCAGGAACTGGATCTGGGTTATAGAAAATCTTTTCATTAGGATTCACCATCTTAAATCTGAATTTAGTCACCAAGTTATGAAGAAAAACGAGCGTCTCCATTCGAGCATATTCTTTACCGGTACACATCCGAGGGCCTCCCCCAAATGGTACAAATGTGAAAGGTGGAGGTCCGCTCCCTTCAAATCTTGAAGGATCAAAATTTTCAGGATCAGGAAAGTACTTGGGATTCATATTTGTAGAATATGCACTCCAATGGACCTATATACATATATAAACAATCATCGACGAAATTACAAAAGTTTTGTTATAATAACAGTAAGAATTATAATAATACTCGTAGTAACAAAATTAATGTACCTTCCATCCTTTAGGGATGTTAAAGCCTGAATAAGTGAAATCAGCTATGGCTTCCTTATAACCGCCCGTGGCCGGGGGTCTAAGTCTCATGGTTTCACATATTACATTCCAAGAGTACTTCATTTTTTGAACATCTGCCCAAGTGAGGAGATCTCCTGCTTCTTTTGCCTTTTTGATCTCCATTTGTTCTGTTAAGAAAACTAATGAGTAATGACACATAAAAGCACGGTACAATAACAACGAGCTTTGCTACATAAAATGGGTAGAGAATAATAATGTAGAGAAACTAACCTTAACTCCTTAAAGATAATAGAAAATATTGTTGAGAAATTATTAACCGTAACTCAAGTACCTTGTAATACTTTTTCATAAATGTCAGGGTGTTTCGAGAGGAAGTAGACCACAAAGGCAATGGTAGTACTTGTAGTATAAAAACTAGCAAAAATAAACCCAACAATAACACGAGCAACGTCCTCCTTTCTTACAGAAGTTCCGTGCTCATCAGTAGCCATAAGAAATTGGCCTAACAAATCGCGGTCATAAACAACCTGGTCCTGCTGCTGCTGCTGAACATCAGAGAGTTGTATTTTCCTCTGCTCCATGATCTCGAAAAGTTTCTCCTGGACAAGTGCTGACTTTTTAAGAGCTTTGTAGTAAGGCATCCCAGGAATGTTAAGAGGGGTTGAAAAGATCCCTTCAATGAACTCAAAGAAGGGGTCACGAAGTTGCTTAATTAATTCAGGACTTGGGTTAGAAAACTCCACAAAAATCCTGCAAGATAGCTCGAAAGTGAACTCTTTTGCTAAGGGATGAACCTTGACTTGATCAAAAGGCAACCAAAATTTATCCAAATGTTGTTTTACCATAGAATCCATGGTACCAGCATATTGTTGGATACAATCTAGCTTCAAAAATTTATGGGATACTTGATCTGCTAGTTTGTAAGAGAGTGAATTTGGGTCAGCATTTTGTTGAGCAAGAGCTTTGGAGATGGAGCGAGGAAGCCAGGATCTAACCAACTTTAACTCATTGGAGAAGATAAATTTGTTCGATGTCGGGCCGCAGAAAATGGCCATAGTTTCACCTGCAAGTGAGGTTTGAAAGACATCAGGAGAATGGTCTCTCATCCGATCAAGTACAAAATTCATTGGGCATGACACAAATGTTGTAGTTTCTCCTATTAAAGGCCACCCCTTTTTGCCTGGTGGTTGAAGTTTTGAGGAGGTTTTCGAAAGTATTTGGATGATTTGAGTGACTATCACTATGATAATTGTTAAGCCTAGTCCAACCATAAAGATTGAATCCATTTTTTGATATTTTGATGGTTGCAAATGATGAAAGTTCTAAGTTTAAGAGGATGGAACTTTTTTAGTTTTTGATAAAAGGCCACTATTCATCATTATTACTACATAAAAGATAAAGGAAAATTTGTCTAGAACTATCCGAAAGATAGGCTCATTTGTGAACAACTACCTATTTTTTTTTTATTTGTTTACAATTACCCGCAAGTTTGAAAACGTTTGGGTAGCACTACCCATTAACGTTTTCCATCCAAAAAACCGTTAGTGGGCCCCATATTATACACGTGTCATTTATTTATTGGATAAAAAAATTAAAAAAAAAAAAAAAAACTCAGCCACCCTAACCACCGTGAAACCCTAGCCCCTACCCCCAGCCACCACCAAAAACCGGTCGGCCGCCCTCGTTAACCTCTGAAAACGGTCGGCCACCAACCCTTCACCCCAACCCGACACCCCTACCAGTCCCACGACCCTCCCTCTATCTCCTTCAACCCACGACCCACACTAGGGTCACTCGCCGCACCGCCCTCTCTCTCCTTTGACGAGCCACCCGGATTCGAACCACCCTCCCCCAATCCCAGACCCGAAACCGAATCTTTCCTTACCCGAAATCGAAACCACCACCTACAATCGAAATTGGGTCGGTGTCAAAATGGTGTGCGATGGTGGGTTTTGGTGTTGTCAGAGGATAGAGATGGAGGAGAGGCGGTGGTTGGGGAGGGTTCGTGGGTCCTGGGTTAGGGTCGCCTGCAGTGAAAGGGGGTGGCGGTGGCTGGTAGGTTTGGAGATGGTGGTGTGGGTGGCTGATTGGTGGTCAGGGGGTTCCGGTTGGCCGTTTCGGAGGTTTAGGGTGGCGGCCAGCCGGTTTTTGGTGGTGGTTGGGGGTAGGGGCTAGGGTTTCACGGTGGTTGGGGTGACTGGTTGGTGGCTGGTTTTTTTTATCTTTTTTTTTTTTTAAATTTTTTATCCAATAAATAAATGACACGTGTACAATGTGGTGCCCACTAACGGTTTTTTGGATGAACAACGCTAATGGGTAGTGCTACCCAAACGTTTTCAAACTTGCGGGTAGTTGTAAACAAATAAAAAAAAATGGGTAGTTGTTCACAAATGAGCCTATCTTTCGGGTAGTTTTAGACAAATTTCCCAAAGATAAACATTTGTCTTCTGTTTCGGATTAATTGCAACACTAAGTTTAACCCATATTTAAAATAAAAAAAAAATAAAAAAATAAGGTGGAGACCAAAGTGATGATTTTACAGTCGTCTTGTGTGTAGTTGGCTACACCGTGTGAGCACTTATAAAATAACAAAATAATGTCTATAACACTAACCAAGTAACCCCTGTAATATTGACTGAGTAACTCGTATAACACTGACCGAGTAACCCTTAACACTGACCAAGTAACCCCTATTACACTAACAAAGTAACCCCTATGATAACTGGTCACACGATATAACCAGCCACATATAAGAATTTGTGATTTTCATTATTACAATTTTTTTTAGAATTTATCATTTAATTTAAAACTAAAACTTTTAATGGGGAATCTTCTAAAAAAAAAAAATTATTAATGAAGTACTCCGTAATAATCATAGGTGTACAATGGAAACCAATACAACGGGCAAATGTAAAGCAATAGATGGACCAAAAGCCCGCTATTTTTGGCTCGAAAAGGCAGGTTTTTGACACAAAATCAATGATGGTTCATTGGAAAATTTGGGGTTTCCAATTACTGTACAAATTGGAGAAGACAAATTCAGACTGGGACATTGGATTGGATTTTCGATGTTCAATATCAATTGAAAGTAATGGAGATGAAAAACGGATTATATAATGGAATTTCAATTGAAAATAATGAAGATGAAGAGCATTTTAGATATTGGAATTTCAATTGAAATTAATGTAATTTCTCCAAATGAACTCCGGATGAACTTCGATTGGGATCGAGCAACATACATTCGACATCATCATGACCTTCGTTGATGAACATCAGTGGAGAATGAGATGAAGCATAAAGAAGAGAGATATTTTTCTAATTTGTAAAATTAAAACTGAATTTCTACATAAAGTTTCATGCCAAGTATGCCACACCGTGTTGCTAGGGGTTACTCGGTCGATCAGGAATTACTCGGTAACCTCGATCAGTGTTTAGGTATGTGTCAGCTGGTCACACGGAAAACGTGTTAGAATTTCTAAAATTAATGAAAATAATAATAAAAAAAAAATCAAATACGAAGTACGTATTTTGGAGCAACATTTTTTTTTTCCAAAACACTGATCGACCGATTAACCCCTGATCAAGTAGAACCTTGATCGACCAAGTAATCCCTAACCGAGTAACCCCGACCACACAACCTGGG